ACACTCGTGAACACCACTCATTATGGTTGTCTATACTTGCACACCTAATTGACAGTGGAAATCGACGGTGTAATATCACAACATTTAAAATTATTTATTGTATACTAATTAATTTTCTATGTGACTTAGGTATTCGTGTACTTCACGTGACAGAGTTGAACGTAATCTATCTATGCAAATCTAACCTCTGTATTTTAAAGAAACTTGTCCACATGACGCAACTTCTAATACTATTTTATTCTTCTCTTCTCCTTCTTTTTCCAATAATATTCTTCCATTTTCTGATTTTTATGTATTGTTTTGTTGTTAATGACTAACCAGTTGAAGAAACACTTCATTTATTTTACTAGTTATTGTGCAATTTACCAAAGAACAACCCGTGGTTTGGAAGACTTTTGACGATTAAAGTCAAAACAAAAGCTTTTGCTTCATGGCAGGATTCGGACCAGAGACCTTCAGTTACCGGCTGTGTGCTCCACCAGCTCATCTACAAGACCCAATTACAGATGAGACCTTAATTTCACTTTAATCACCAAGCATGTCGCCCAACTGTCATGCGAATTCGTGATGCTTAAGTGTCTGTTCATAGTCCCATTAGCTACTCAGTGAAGACTTATTACCCAAATACAAATCAAGGTGAATTAGAAAGAGGGGAGCGACGTTTTAATTACCAGTTTGACTGTCTGAAACGGCTGCTGTTAAGTAGACTTGTATTGATGACACTGTATTGTCGATACATTAATTATTGCTTTTAACACTGTATAATTACTCTATTCATTACTTACATCTTGATTTCTCAGCTTTATCATCAATAATTGCTGTCAATCCATTTCTTACCATTTGGTTGGATTTTTACAATAATTGTAAACCTATATATCAGTGTTGATCCAGAGACAAATACCTAAATGAAAAGAAGCATAACTCTTCGCACAGTCAGTTTTCCTTCTGAATGACAAGGAATCGTAACGAACTATAGTTTTTACAGCTACTATATCTGTCTCAGACAAAAATATCTGCGCTTTTTTATATATTCCGTCCTTTATTCAGTTCATTCTGATGTTCTATCAGGAGATTTTTCCTCACAATAAACTTCAACCGTATAATTTTGCTGCAGATATTCACTTTAAACGTAGCATCATAATACAAAGTGATTTGATTTTTGAGTTCAACTTTTGTACAGTCAGTTCACCGTGTATTCAACCAAATGGCATGTTAAGACACTACACATTGATTAAGACGCGAGTGCCACATATGTACTTCCTCCATACTTTAACGTAAATCATAAGACATTGTCCATGTATATATTAGTTAAAATAGGATAGACAGTCTAATATAAGTCTGAAGCATTAGTTTGTCGATACAGAGGGTGGTAAGAGGTTTTATAACAACAAAGATTTTATCAAACTTCTAGGTCATATCGGAGAATAAATGTGGGTCAAATTCTAGAGAAGAATTAACAACTGCTATATGCTTTTCAGTGGAAACCTCAATCACAATGTTGGGTCAGCGAATCTTTAGAAGACTGAACAAATTTGATGTGATATAAATAATTACTCTCAAATTAGGCTAAAAAGTATCAAACAACACACTAACGAAAAGGATGAGTAGTTAGAACCCATTTGAGCTGATAAGTAAACTTCACTAATCAGTTAGATCAGAGTTATCTGAACACCGAACAACCGTCTCGCTCAGCAGCGTAACCAGACAAATTCAGTTAATAAAACCAAACTTTCTAGACCGATTGAATCTAACTAGCTGAATGGCATGGACCAATACATCCTAAACAGGATGACCGACTTGTAAACGGTCTTCGAGATGCATGATTTATGATGATATTTCCTGAAGCTGATGAACCCGGCTCCAAAAGAGCGAAGTCTCCAACAGGTGTTTAGACTACTCTGATCTGGCTGGCTGGTTGATGAAGTTTACAGATCATTTCCAGTAGATTTCATTTGCTGAACCTGTTCATTTGCATATTTCGTTGGTTCATGACGCTTCTAAACCAGAAACCACATTTTGTGATCTTGGCTGAATGATCTTCAGGGCATATCCTGTAGTCACCAGAGTTGGGCAGTTGTCTATAAAGTGTTATCTGTTTAGTTTTACTCGTAAACAAGCTGATCTGTAGTTTCCATTGACGCCTATTCAGTATCATACTCGATACATGCAGCCAACTCTTTAACTTAACTTCATCGATTTTGAAAAAGCTTTCAATAGAGTCGAAAGAAAAGTAAGTTCGCAGGGAGCTGCTTCACCATTACAATTTTAGTGCCATAAACCTTTGCCAGCCTCATTCAACAGTTATATGCTACGCTATATGAGGTTGCTACATGTCAAGTGATTCACAATGGAAAGCTCAGTGACGACGATGTCTTTGAAATGAAGTGAAGACAGGAAGGAGTAAGACAAGGTTGCCGCCTACTATCATCACCGATCATCTCCCTGACTGTGGTTGACTGCACCCGAGTGGATAGGATCGTGCAACAGACAACTTTGAGGAGATGTGAGAAGATAAGCATACCCTGACTGGACCGATGAAAAGACTCTGGAAGAACATTTGGATTTCGCCAAAGATGATTTATTTCCAATCTCTTATGTCATACAAACTCGAAGATGTACAGGTAAGAACCAACTTAATGAGATAAGAGGTGAGGCAGCGAAGGAAGATGAGACTTCCTTCAGGTGGACGTAGAGAAGACAGAGGTGATGAAGATACCCAACCAACGCCACCAACAACAACAAGCTTCAACCACTGTCAGAGGGAGGAATCTAAACGAAGTTGTCTTTTTCACCTACCCACCTAACTAGGCAGCACCGTTTCAACCACAGGTGGTGGCGACACAGATGAGGATGTCAAAGCAGCCAGGATCAAAAAGACAGCAACACAGGCCTTCCTTCATTATTCTGAAATCAGTGTGGTGATCTACCCCACTCCACTATACCACACTACACTACATTCAGCATAAAGTGTGGACAACATCCAAATTGTCAACACTGATATCAGTCAAGTCAGTCAGTGCTTCCATATGATGGTTGAGAGAGTTGGTGGTGCTTTACGGGAAGCATTTCTAACAATCTACAGACATACATCATCAACAGCTGCCACCCACGCTCTCTAAATATTGAAGATCAAAAGATGAGATGACCAGAATAATGCCAATGAGCAACAAGGAACTCACACTGGTTGGCAACAAATCAACGAGGAATCAACCGCCCAACAAGTATGCAGGCGAAAGTGGAGATGGGTTGAATTCGGCATACACTGAGAAGACGGTTTGAGGACACCACGCGTCAGGCCAGACCAGTCAAAACCGTCAAGTGGGACCCAAATGAGAAACGACTGTTTGGGCGTGTGAATCGAGTGTGACATGGAGGAGATGGTGTGTGGAAGCGATAAAAGCTTGTGGGCAGTCATGGAATCAGGTTGAAAAGACTGTAGAGAAGAGGGTGAAATGGTGACGTACTACTGAAGCTGAATCTTTCACTAGGAACCCAAAGGACAAATAATAATAAATAATAAGTACCATACATGATGGAATAAAGTTTGACGTTTTGGCGTATATCAAAACTTGATGGATGTGGTTCACACTTCTGACTATTTGTTACTTTAAACATAACAAAATGCTGCGTTCCTGATCATAGTAAGTGATCACTAACACGGTGTATTTTTCGAGTGAAATAAAATATCCTACGTAAACTAGGAAATGTAATGAAGCTTCCTGTATGAATACCGCGCATTTCGCTGAATACTTCACATGATACTCATATCCCAGTAGTTTAATAGTTGTGTTCTGAGTTATAATCAAAGATGTTTTAAATAAAGTGAGCATATAATTCGAAGAGAAGTGATTTCTTTAAATTTATTTTATGAGAAAGCATCAAATTTATACATAATAATTGAAAATTTAATTTTTTAAAGATTAAGGTTATTAAAGGTAAAATGCGTGTTTTAAACAATAATTTTAGGCTGTCACTACTGCATACACTACTAATCATTTGATAAAACTCATATGGCCATGTCAGTGTGTCCACATTCATTTGTGTTGTGTATATCATGAGTATTGTGAAAATCCTATTTTTTGTTTGTTTGTTGTTATTTTCCTCGCTTAATATAATAGTTTCTCTCTTACAATCTCACAATCATTCACTTGTGAAAGTATTTCCACAATTCAACTAACCCTAACCATCCACATATCCCTCTTCTCTATAATAGGCTCGTTTCTTCAGAATCGTATTCAGTATATGCATAGTGAGTAGGTAGAATTGTATCAGTTCAATAGTGTATTGTGTCTATCCTACTAAACACTAATCGCCTTATGATATTTCCCATAGTATTCATGAATAAAACAAACTTGAAATCCACATGGAAATGTTCGCGTCTGATAATACCTTAAATTGTGCTTCATATTGTCTAATGTCTATTCTGTTACACGACAGAAATGATTACATACGTGTGCAAAGAATGATTGTAGTGGTAAATACGAAGGAATGAACACAGAATCATAAAATTGACAATAATTATACTACTGATATTACTAATGCAAGTAATACTTATTCACTTTCAATAAACGTATGTATGTAAAAACTTGATAAGTTAATACATTGCAAAAGTACTAACCATTTGTGTTAATTGTATAAATTGACAATACAACAAACAAATATACACAAACATCCATTAGAAACAAAAGGAAATATTGGATAAGTTTGATATTTCGTTATTGAGAAGCCGAGTAGTCATTCAACAAACATTCTAGTATTCTATCTACTGATAGCACAATAATATTGGACATAATGTTGAAAAACCTTTACAGGAATTATTGAAATCAAACGGTAGTTACTTATATTTCAGTTAATCACCTATAAACTGATAGATAATTATTCATTCATGAGTTGATAGAAATAAAATTGTTGGGATATTTAAGAAAAAAAATTGAGAGAAAAATGAAGGAAAAGAAATTTTGAACTATTCAAATAAACAAGGCTAAAAAATGGGGATATATATATGAATATAAATTATTCAGATATTTAATTCATCAAAAGAGAAGAGTAATGCATATCATGTTCAATGGTTATTTACTGAATAGTTTTAACTGTATACATTTTCTAATTTTATTCACTTGTACATGTGAAAATGTGAATATTGTTGTACCAGCAGGAAAAGTATTCGATATCGTTTTGTCAATGGAAGATGCTCATAATGTAAGTTATTTATCTATTGTTTGATATCTTTAGGTAGTTTTTCAAAAAGTATTTTAGAACAGTGAAAATTTCCAATTAGACATGTAGAAAAACGACTAATTGAATAAAGGAATATACTCCTTCATACTAAATTTAAGTCAAGAATGCTAACAGATCCTAGGAAGGTCAGGAGTGACATTATCAGGCAAATCACTACACTACTTTACACAATATAAAGCATAAACAGAGTCCATCTAATGGTATGTTCAACTGTCACACTATGTCACATTCTCCATACAACAACTCAACTCCAGATGCGAGAAACTACTACAGATTATCTCATTCTGCAAATTACATGTCCATTCATCACTTCAACTACTCCTCTGCATATACATACACACTGAGTACCATCAGACAGATCTATCACCACACTCGTGAACATCACTCATTATGGTTGTCTATACTTGCACACCTAATTGACAGTGGAAATCGACGGTGTAATATCACAACATTTAAAATTATTTATTGTATACTAATTAATTTTCTATGTGACTTAGGTGTTCGTGTACTTCACGTAACAGAGTTGAACGTAATCTATCTACGTGAAGCTAACCGACACGACACAACTTTTAGTACTTTTTGTACACTTCGGCCGCTTTTAGCCAATTAATATTTAGTACTGTAACCATTTGTTGATATGCTTGTAATTCTCTGTTGTTATGCTGGAACTAATTGTCCGAATTGTTAACTGAGGTGCAGGTAGAACCAGCTGATGAGTCCCAACTAGGAGGAAACGTGCATCCTAGACCCCTCTGCTAGCTACAACTAAATAAATTTCTATAATATTCAGTACACTGAAACTTTCTATTCCGACAATTATATTTATTCGCTATCTTATTATTATGTAACTGCTTTTTGACTACAACTGACTGATTGAGATAAAGCACTCCATTTACTTTACCAGTTACTATGCTATTTGCCTAAGAATAAGCTGTTACACATTATTGTGATTCTTACTTTTAATGCTGTTTAATTACTCCTCTGATTATTTGCATCTTGATTTCTTGAACTTATTATCTTGACTTATTTAAGACGTATAATTTCGGTTAATCAATCCTTGGTATTTCGATACTAGTGTAGAGCCGAGGATGACCTTATTGACATTTTTTTTATTTCTTCCCTCGACCCGTCCGTTTTCTGGAACTTTTCAGTAAACTGACCAGGCTTCTAGTTTACTGCTGGTGTTATTAGAGGTAGTATTCATCATGGACTGACACTAGTTGGGTAACCATGGAAAATCTGAGAGTACTAGACAGCTGTTTCGTCGTAGTATGGGACTCCACAACAGTACACGCCTACGAACCGGATAGGGATCGAACTCATGACCTTCAGGTTTCACGGTAAATGTGTTAACCGTTCAGCCACTGGGTCAGAATTCAATGGTTCATAGCTTTCGACTTTTGTTAATTAGCGATATATTGTAACTATCAGCAAAGATTTTCACTCGGTGTCCGCTTCACTTCCGATTTCTAGTTGACCCCAGCGGTCACAGCTTTTCACTAGAACTTCGTGATATCCATCTGGAAGCATGTCACTAATGAGCACTATGCAGTTATTACTCATATTTTTCACTGATCATTCCCTCGTACCAAAATAGAAAAAAAGGGTGAGGCTTACAAAAAAAAAGTCAAACTTGAGTGTTGATATTACCAAGTTAAAAACATCACCGTTGAAATAAAACAATTTAGATTGGTTATAAGATAATTAGCAAACTAAAAATGCTGTTACTGAACCGTGTTTCAAATAATGTAGCACATTTTTACCAATTATGCAGTGAATGATACAGTCACAGCCTTGTGGGGACATTATACTTCTCCACTGACATCAGCAGACACTCCTACTGCTTGTGAAAGAATATCAGTGAGTATCAGAGTAAAATGTTGATATTATTTGCAGAAATTATCTCTATTCCACTTGATTTATTAGACGTATCATACAATGATACAGAATTATTTATTATCATCATTATTACCCAGTAGATAAATATTGCTGTTTAGCTGTGTGACATCTAATAAATCAACTGTTATGTCTGTAAGATTTATAGTGCTTATTTCATAAACAGCTTATTAGTATCTCCATCCAAAATGAAGTTAAAAACATCTAGCAACTATCGTAAATGAGGAGTCGGGGGTGGATTCTTACCACAAATTCCTAGAAGTTTCATAATTTACTAGTGGGTAGTGGCAAGCAGTGGAACCCAGTATAGGCATTTCATCCTTTTCCGGTGATGTTGTTCCTACAAAGAACCGAATACAGAAGCAGTCACCTGAAACCCCATGAAGTTAATTACTAAGCCAGTGGGTTACGATAAAAGAAGCGACAGACAGGTAACCAGGAAGGAAGGTTTACTGTCAACAAATGGGACATTAGTCATTAAATATGGTATACCATGCACTAAAACCATGATTTGCAAAATGTGCTTCATTTTCTCTTCCGTTTCTTTCTTGATTCGCTCTTCATACGCCTTGCTTGTCTCTTGCGTTTCTCTTGGTGGAATCTTTACCTACTACTGGTAATTCCATATGATTTCTGTCACCTTCTCAACATATACTGCTTATATCCAATCTTATGAGCAACGCCCACCACAACGACAGTCACTTCTTATGCGAAAGACATGGTGCAGTACACATATTTTAGCTTATGATTTCTTGTCGTTTCACATTTTACCTGGGAAGAAAACAATGGAGTTTACTAAAACACCACCAGATAAACTGCTTCCAATTTTGAATAACTTCACCACGTTTCTCTCTCTCTGTGTCTATCTATCTATTTCTCAGAACGCTCCATTACTTCAAAGTAAGCGTGTGTTATGCCATTATCACAGTAGCTCTTAATTTCAATATATAGCGCGTAAAAACCGGAAAACAATGATAATAATAAATAATATAATTAGGTTTATACACCATTAAAAACCGAATTAGGAAAGTTCCTACGATCACATTTTAACAGGTAAGGTTACTTTTTCCCATGAGACGACAATAATTTCCAAAATATAACTGAAAAAAATTTTAGAAACTGATACACATTTCTGATATTCATACAGTTTACAAACATAGTTGGTATTCAGATGTTTCCTCGAGAAATTTAAGTATTTCAAGTCTACATGAGATTGAAATTATCGGTGTTATGTTGCTGCTGTCGAAAGTACTTATGAAAAACAGTCATTTAGCCTTCTGTTCGCCTGCGAGTGTACTAAGTGATTGTAGTCTCAGGAAGAAGACATTTTCTAGGCGGTTTTTTAACAAATATATGCTGTTCGTCAACTGGGACGACTTGATGAGCTGATAAGGATATCTAGTATGATGTTGAGACGTTGAAATAACCAATACCACATTTCACAGGAAAATTCAGTATGATTATTTATATTAGGTGTCTCTCTCTTTTATAATCTCAACAAATTATATCAGGACCATCATACAAGATAGATAAATTTTCTGTTCTGATCCTATGAATGAAGTTTCGTTAAGCCTGAACACAGTAATCGCCATGATAATATGTGTTTCAATCAACCACAGACAAATTCTAAGGACCCAAAACAATGAAAGTATTATAAGTAACTACTTTTTAATACATAAATTAGGCTAAACATGCTTGACGTTTATAATTCTGGTAACAATTAACAGGTTATTCATTGATGATTAGACTAACCTTCTGCAGAATTGCTTCTTGTCAATGTCATCTCTAGTACTTTACTCGTTTTTTCCTAGCAACTTAGCATGAATTTCTACTAACATTTTATCCATTGTTGTTTAGTTTCTATTCTTCTATGATTGCTGGTGAATTTCAGCTTGTTTATAATATTTCACAAGTAGTTCTTAATGGTCAACCACACTTCAACTAGATTTCCTTTTCGTTATACTTCTTTTAATTCACTTGTTTTGGCTATTGTGTCTCAGTGACCTTGGGGATAACCGTCTGGCGTTTGAATCAGTAGGAATCAGTGAAGACAACATCACTTACTGAGTCCCAAATAGGATAAAACGTGTGCGATATAGAAAGATAATAGAGAGCAGAACATACGACACAGGTGACTGAAATAGATCTGTCATAGATATGTTGCTCTTCTGGTTGTAAATTTAAAACTTGTTTAGTAAAACAGAAACATAAAGTATCTGTCAATATAAGCTTCTACGAATTTATGATCACTATTCTAACAATCTGAAAGTATGAAACATTTACTTACTTCAAACTAACGTTTCAAAGTATACACTGCTATCTTTCATTCAGTACGTTTCAACCTTCTATGTAATCAAACGGTATTTAACTTTTTTGTGATATATGTTAATCTTGGATAGTAAAAGTCTCGTACAAAGTGTTCGCGGTCAATAATTATCCACTCAACTTTATCCAGAAGAAGAAGACAGAGTAATTGTAACAAATCAATAGACGCGTTACGTTACCCTATATCAAAGATATTTTAGTAACAGTAGACCGATTGTTTTACCCGATCTGAGGAAGTCTCTCCAGCATGTTATACAAATCAAACGATGCGTTGCCAAAAGAGGACAGGACAAATATAATTTACAAAATCAACTGTAAATATTTTTCATAACATTATGTTAGGCATTCTGGCCGTCGGACTGCTCAAAAAGTTCATGAACATCAACTAACAGTAAAGCGAAATGTCATACTCATTGGTTTCCATACATTGTGACAATCATGATCACAAATTCGACTTAGAGAATGTGGACATCCTCCAAAAAGCAGGTTGGAAATTTGCAAGGGAATTTCTTGGAGAACTACATTTAGACGAAAAGTCAGTCAACAGATATGTGGATATAGACCCAATCTATAATCTGCTTAGAAAAAAAGAAAAACGGCCATCCATCAACCAAGGGTAAATTGATCAAACAAATCAATGATGATGCACGAGATGCCAGCAACAAGAGTACAATTTCACTCTAACGAAGGTTATCTAACAGTGTGACTGAAAGAAATCCAAGGTCAAAGAAGCCAAGGTG